CCCCCCCCCCTTCCTCCCCCCCCAGCTCTCCGCGGGCCATTGGTGTTTGAGAGCAAAGAGGGCCCGCCCCTCTGGTCTCCTCCGATAGGGCTGCTGTTGGGCACCTGAGAGGGATCACCAATAGCAGCACGGCAGCCTGGGGCCGCCGCGCCCTCTAGTCAATCCGCGGCTCCTGCCTGTCCTCCCCTTTCAGGGTTAACCTTAGCCACAGAGGCCGAGGTAATTTTTATTTCCATGTCTGTCCGTCAATCCCGAGTCTGCCAGTGACGCCCCAGTGGGGGAAGCAAGGAAGGAGCCAAACGAGGCCGTGGCGGGGACCTGCGCCCAGCCCCACCTAGCCCTTTTCTCTGCCCACGTTAGAGGCAGGGCAGGTGACCCGGGAGTGACGGCCTCCCCCAGCCCCCGGCTCTTGCGCCTCTTTTCAACGCAGGCCGCCCTCCGCCCTGTGGCCTCTTCTGCTTTGGGGCTTGCTGGGTGCGGAAGAGCGAGGAGCTCTTTGGTGGGCTTGGGGTAGGGGTGGGGTGTGGTTCTGAAGGGCCTTTCTGGAGGAGGAGGCGTCCAGGCCCTAAGGACCGGGCCAGGGAGAGGATCCGCGTAGATTCGGGAGCTGGAGGAGCCCAGAGATGGGGGTGGGGTATCCGGGAGGGGCCGGTCCGAGCGGTGGGCAGGGGATAGACCAAGAGACTGTGGGGAAAGTACCAGCAAAGTGAGGAGAAACTCCGGGGAGAGCTGGGGACCTGCTTTCTGGAGGCTTCACTTTCCTTGCTCTGTTTGGGAGAGAGTTTTTTTGTTTTTTTGTTTTTTGTTTTTTTCCCCCTCCATAGCTCTTTTGGGTAGCGCATCTGAACCAATCAGGACTTAAGAATGTTTAAGAAGACCACAGGGCTTAGGAACGAGAGGTCTGGATGGACTCGGAGTAAGAGGACAAGTGTGTGATTATCATTTCTTCCTCTTACTGCCTGTGAGACCTTGGACAAGTCATTTCGCCCCCGTTAGGGGAAGGTAGATGAGTCTGATGACCCTTCTAGATCTTCCTTATCTTCTGGCTTTGTCCTCAAAACAAAACAAAACTATGGCTTGGAGCAATCTACCTCGGAACTGAGATTCATCATCTAGTAAAATGAGGCTGGCCTAGATTTTTAAAAACCAATTTTTTTTAATTAAGAAAAATTTATTTTCTTTTCCTCTCACTTCGTCCTACCTCATTTGGAAAAAAGAAAAGAAAAACACAAAACCTTTGTAACAAGTAATCAAAATAAACACTGGCAGTGAATATTTCAAAAAATATGTCTCATTCTGTACCCTGCATCATCACCTCTCCCTCAGGAGGTGATTTCTGTCTTACAGATGAGGAAACAGAGGCTTGGAGAGCCTTTAGAGAAACCAGATGTCAGTTGATGCAAAGAATTTATTATAATTATGCTTTGATATAAAAATTTTCATCCTGTCTCTTTTCTTTGCCTTTCAGATTAAAAAAAAAAATGCAGTGCATCAATTGATGTAGTGTAGTCCTTTAATGTAGTCTTGAATTCCTGTCCTTCCAGTGTTCAATGATTTGCCCCCACACGGGTACCAAAGCTCCGGTCTTCTTACTAGGAGTCTAATGTTTCTGGCACCACACTATTATCTTTTAAAAGGGTGAAAATATTTTTTGTGCAAATCCTCAGGGGATAGGAAGTGGATCTGTGGTTTAAGATTTTGGGGTCCAGTTTGTCCTCTGCCTTAGGACTTGGTTGTATAAAAGAATCCCCGGGGAGAGACACCATGGTAGAGTGGAGAGCAGGATGGCCTCCAGTGCTGTTTCTGACACACTTGTTCTTATGTAACCCAGGGCAAGTCATATCATCCCTCTGTCCTTGACTATTGTCTAAGACTAATTGGCCCCAGTAACTAACTCCCTCCCCTGCTAAAAATAACAGTTCTTTTAAAACATTTAAGTAATCCCCAAGATCTTATTTTTCGCCTTCTTTAAAATGAGCACAATAGCTTCAGTCCCTTCCAGCTCTAAAATTTAAGATCCCATGAACCATATTCTCTTCTCTTTATTCACTGTGACAGGACAGTAACCTAGCTCATGCCTGGTTGGTGAATCTAGGTGTTCTGTGCAGAGTTCCTGGAGATTCTCAAGTAAAAATACTTATTGAGCATTTGGGGGCTATGAGCTTTATGAAGAGAAGTAAGACATTCCTGGCTATGAAGACCTAATAGTTTGGGAGAGAAGATGGAAATCCAAGAAAAATTAAAGGCAATAGAAGAGATGTTATGAGACGCACAGAATCACTTGTTGAATGAGTGGTTGTAACAATCATTGCTAAAGGAAGAGCTCGGCAAAAGGCTACGTAAGTGAAATGGTTTTTGTGTTGGATCTTGAAAGATGGCTAAGATTTGGGTGGTATTCTGGAGTAAGGTAAGTAATAAGATCTTGGAGGCAAGAAGAGCTCAACTTGTGTTTTGGGGGATGACAAATCTCATTAGAGTTTAGTGTACTTGAAGAAGAGGGATATTAGAAAAGATTGGAAAGATGTGCTAACCCCAGATTGTGCAGGGCCTTGAAAGCATGGCTGAATTTGGACTTTATACTGTCAGCAAAGAGGAGTTTTTGAAGGTGATGAGAATGGTATTTGAAGAAGAAAATTCTGAGCACAGTGTGCTGGATGGATTTGAGGGAGAAAAGACTTAAGACAGGGAAGCAGTTATAGGAAGCCAGCTATGACTTGGTAAGGGCTTGAGTTAGGGGGTGGCTTTGGGAATGGAGAGGAAGGGATAAATGTGAGTGACCACTGGAAAGAATAGATCCTTACAATGAAGGTGAACTGTCTGAAGGAGAATTGTCAGAGAGGCCATAGGATGATAGATTTAGAGCTGGAAGGGATCTTGCTAGGCCTGTTAATAACTGGTCTAAACTTAAATCTCTGGTCTTCCATGAGGTCTACTCTGATTCCCCCAAGCTGAAGGTAACCTATCTCACCTCAAATTTCTTGTATGTGTCTGGGACTCTTGTCTGCCCCAACTGCCTTCTACTTTATATCGTATGTATGTAAGTTATATTCTCTTATAAGATTATAAGCTTCTTGATAATTGAAGGGTGGGAGGAATTCTATCTTTGGTTACCCAGGTGAAGATTTGGGTCAAAGATTCAGAAAACTCTTGGGGCAAGAGAAAGCCTTTAGAAAGAGGCCAGTCAATTCTGACAGTTAGGAGACCTGTGTTCTAAAATTCTGTATGATCCTATGCAAATTACTTAACCGCTCGGGCCTCACTTTCCTTATCTTGAAGATAAGATGATGAAAATGCAAATCATGATTTGTGTGTGTGTATGTATCTCTGTATATCTCTGTGTTTGTGTGTGTGTCTGTGGCGAGGAGTGATCTTGTCCCCTGCTTTCTGGTAAAAAACAGGAAGGGAGTGCACTGTTCCCTTGCCCGCCTAAAGGAGAAACAGTGGATAAGTACTTTATGCCCTAGGGCTACTAAACTAAGAACATTTGTGGGCTGAGAGAGGGAAAGTGAACAGAGCTAGGCTGGAAGGATCTGGAGCCTATTGGGTAGAAGACAGTCTAAAAAGAGGTAGATGCCTCCAGAACCTGGATTTGGGATTAAGGGGTGGTATGCTGGGAGACTTCAAAGAGGGCAAAGGAATGAAGAAGTTAAAGTAGCTGGTTCAGTTACCGTTTGGACATATTCCCCAGGGATTCGTGGGAATGGAAGGCCCATTACACAAGGATAAATAGCTTAACCTCCCCCCAAGTGTTATAAAATACAGTTCTTACAGAGCAGAAGGACAGGGCATGATAGCGCTAATAAGAATTGTGAATGTGTGTAATGCTTTGAATTTTTGCTTTTCTATTCTTAGCTGATTTTTGTGTTACTGCTGTGAGTGAGGTAGGAGGTTAGTTTTACTATGAAGAAATGAAGCCAAGTTCATACAGCTAAGGGGCATTAGGACTAGAATTTCGTCCTTGGTCTTTCTATGGACAATACGGCCTAACTTTGACGTTCCCTACCCCAAGATTTGAGAGTTCAGCATTTGGCAGTCAGAAAAGGTGGAGGGGATGGGTTGAACATATGAAAGGAAAAGAAGGGGCCCAGGAAGAGTAGAGCAGGGTAGAACCTGGAGTGTGTGGAGTGAGTTGGGTCTGGGGGAGTGGAACCTGGAATAGATCTGTTGAGAAGAGTCAGAGAGGAGTTATTCCCATTGGGCTAGGTTATCTTGGGAAGTGGGGAGAAGTAGGAGGGACAGGGTAATGTAATAATTATAAATCAGTGTATATAGCACTTTAAGGTAAAGTTTACAAAGTTCTTTTCTTTAAAACAACCCTGTGAAGTGGGTAGGGCCTATTTTACCCCCATTTTATAGATGAGGAAACTGAAACCTACAGGGGTGAAGTAACTTGCTAAGGTCACACAATACCAGTTGGAGTCCCAGGAAGGGAAAGGGGAAGAAAATAGGTATTTAAATAATGCTTACTATGTGCCAGGCACTGTGCTAAATACCTTACAATACCTTCTGTAATTATCCCCATTTTACAACTGAGGAAACTAAGGCAAATGGAGGTTAAGTGACTTGCCCAAAGCCACAGAGCTTTTAAGTGTCTGAGGCTAGATCTGAGTTCACTTCCTGACTCCAGGCCCAACGCTTTATCTATTTTTTGACCTAGTTGTCAACTCCTGGGTCCAACACTCTTTCCACTGTACCATAGTGCCTTTGGTATAGGGACAGTTGGAAAAAGAGAGGGCTGTAGTTAGTTGCAGAGATCACTGGGACAGCTAGGTTGGGTATATGAAGAATGTCTCTGCTCCACTTATTAGTAAGCAATGTTACCAACTGTTAAGAGAGTCAAATACCCACAATTAGTCGCTAAGCACTTGGCTAGGAGGCCAGTCCTTCCAGGGCAATTGTAGGATTTAAAGGTGGAAGGGATCTGAGAGATCATTGAGTCTCACTTCCTTATTTTGCAGATGAGAAACCAGAGACCTGGAGAAGTGAAGAGACTTGCCCTAAGTCATATGAGTTGGGTAATTAATAGCAGAGGATCAATTTGGATGAATGTCCCCTGGGTCCAAATCCTTGGCTTTTCTCACAAAACCACATTATCTATGGGGAATGCTTTGTGCTGTGACCCTGTAAGGCCTTGCTTTAGACCAGGGTTCCGGGCCAAATCTGGCTGCAACTTGTTTTTATATAGTGTTGAACTAGGAGTGGTTTTTTTCATTCTTTAGTAGTTTTGGCAGGTGGGATTTGATCCTCTGGCCAAAGTTTGCTGACTCCTCCCTTATAGCATGGGGCAGGTTTTGCCCAGAACTTAAGAGTTCATTTTGCAGAGTTATCCAAGGGTTCAGGCTCACTTTAAACCCTAGTGCCAACTGATCCTTTGCCTTTATTCTTGGTGCCAATGAGAGGATCTTCCCATTAGCACAAATTAGAATTCCTGGAGGATAGGCTGGGCTGAGAGGTCAGTGAAGTGAGACTGGTGGTGAACCTACACCGTTAATAGCTAAGGACAGAAAGCTTAAACAGGACCAGGTGTTTGAGTAGATGACATATGGGTCTGGGCTGAGTTTTTGTAGTGATGACAAATCTTACATGCCTAGTCTTTTTTCTTTTGGATCTGGATTAATTTTTGAGGCCTTTTCCAGAATATTAATAATGATGATGAATATTTCACACTTATATTTCACTTTAAAGTTCTGAGCCTTGAGTTGGTGTTTATCTAGTTTTGGGATTCAGTGTGGGGAGCAGAGCATTGCTTGCAAGGGTTTGGAATCTGGAGGTCATCATGGGAAGGTGGGCAAAACCTTTGCAGCATACATTGGGTACTGCTGATAGGTAAACTGGAAAACAGCCGGCAGAAGGAGAAGGCTGGTTTATAGAAAAAGGAATGTTTTCTGAGCAGGGTAGGTCTAGAAATGGGGAAGGGCCTTTTTAGGTTAAAAAATAATTCAAATGATTTTTAAAAATTCTCACTAAATAATAAGTTGGAGGAGAGGAAACCCTCCTCCCAAATTCCCATAGTTTTACATTTCTTTTGCCAGGCTTTCACATCTGAGTATACCAAACAGTGACTTTATGAGCCAATCAAGTTATGTGTAATACATTTTTTGTGTTTCTAATTGAACAAAATGACTTGTTTTAAAGACCACTTAAAATTGCACATATTTAAAAATTTCCCCCAAATTCCTTTTTTTTCTGGTTTGAAAGAAGATACCCACAAACTGTTTCCCCTGTAGTGGTTTTAAAACTTCTGATAATTTGATGTCTGTAGTGGCTGGCATCCTGAGGGAGGGGCAAGTTAGAGCAGGGATTATTACATTTCAAAGTACTCTTCTAAGTACAATTTCCCCCAGCCTGGTATGTCAACTTAAGGATGCTACGTAGGTGGCATAGGTAACGTTGCCATTTTAGGGTGGGAGTCAGTGACTGGGGTCTAAGGATTCTAAGCAGGGGGGGTAGTCTATTGTACTTTCTGGCAACTTTCAGTGGACATTTTTGCAGGTGGGAAGGGGATCATGGTTGTGGAGATTGGTCCATGTGCTATTGAAAAATTAACAAAAGGCGTGGAGTGTGTAGGGTAGAACTAGTGAGAGCAATCTTGGGAAGGGGAGTTGAAGGGATGGTCAGAGCTCTTCCTTTAGGAAGTGCATTGTGAGATTGTGGTGTTTAGCCCTGCACTTGAATGAAGAGGCTATGGGGTTGTGTCCATTAGGAGCTTGAAAGCAAGGGAAACATCCTTTTGGGATGTGTGGCCTAAATGGCATTAGGAAAGATCAGCTATGGCTTTAGGATTTACAAATCCTAAGGTCCCCGTACTGGGAAGGAGAAGGAGCTGGGTATCAACTGGAGAACAGAGGCAAGCTTCATAGGGTAGTGTTATCAGTAAGGGTCATTAACACCAAATGTTAGCTAGCATTTATATAGCATTCTAAGATTTGCAAAACACTTTACAAATATTATCTCTATCTTCACAACAACCCTGGAAGGTAGGTGCTGTTAACTCCATTTTATAGATGAAGACACTGAGGCAAATAGGCTGAACCAGTTTCCCAAGGGTTGTTGGAGGTCAGATTTGAACTTGGGCCCATTACTCTATCCACTATACCACCTAGTAGTATTACTGAATAGATAAAAATGCTTGATGATTGTTCGAGGTCTGAAGCGTTCATCTGCTTATTCAATAGTATAGAGGACTTCCTACATGCCCAGCAGTGTGTTAAACATGCTGCTGGGGGAAGCGGGGACTCTAGCACCGGTGCTGACATTGATGTCCAAAAAGGTTCTGAAAAAGGACCTTCATATACCCAGAGGTCTTTGAGGGGAAGATAGTGCAGTGTAGCTCAGTTCT